CCCTGGAAAAAAAAATATATACAAGGCTGGATTAGAACACACCAACAGAATAGATGTATACAAATACTTAATTAGTAAGCATTTAAACAAAGCACATTTCAAGATTTTTATGCAGTATACATTATTGGTTATGTCCTGTTTCTAATATCTATAGAATAAAATAAGGTCTTCAATATTTAGAAAAAAAGTACTTTTAAACTGCTAACACTCTGAAGGAAAAATATGCAGATCCAATCTCTTTGAATTTCTTGCATCCAGAAGTACCAGATTATTGTATGGAGGCTTAATACTAAGACATCATTTTATAAAACCTTGTCAACTTTTAATTCAAGAAGGTGAGAGTAATTTTAACAACACTTACTATTTTCTCCAACTATAGCTATATCTTGTGTAGCATGTCTGTGACATTAGAAATCATGACAAAATGATTTCCTAAAACTTGGGGAAAAGGCTAAAGATATTTCAACTAGATTAAAACAAAACAATACAGTGCATGTTAATGGAAAACTTATATTGAGACCAACAACATCACATAAGTCCTATCAGTAATGAAGTCTTATTTTTAAATGTCAAAGAACAACACTGAATAAAATTCAAGTCAATTTTATATTAAACAAAAGAAATTGGATGGTCATACTCAAGTCAATTGGTCACATTATATGTAACAAAAACAGAACTAGGGAAAAAACCAACTTCTACAAAAACACTTTGTCATTATAAAAATATTAAACTTCATTAAATAAAAATTCACTTTTGAAGAAACTGTTTTGTTATAATAGAATGAAAATGAGTAGGATAAATCTTGTACAAAACACTCAGAACACTGTTATCACCATTACAAATGTACACAACACCTTAGAAAAACATTCATTATCAATGTAAGAATTCTAAGAATTAGCATGACCAAGATTATAAAACAACTCCAATTTATGTAGGAATTCGGTCTCTCAAATATTCCAGAATAGCGGCTGTTCCTTTCATTAATATGGCTGCTCGCGGAACACGGAATGGATTTCCATCTAGCAGTAATGTTCTAAGCAAAAGAGAGAAATAAGAACTTTAACACTGTCCATTAGGGAGGCTTTTCTTCTAATTTCATTTATAATATTATAAATAAGATTTGTGTAGTTTTTTTATTTGTCTCTTTCAAATCTAACCATTTAAACAGTTGGAATTATAACTACAACAATAACCAAGACAACATTAACAATACTTAGGTGAAAGGTACTCTGCTAAGTAATTTAATTCACTGACTCAGTTATCTTAACAACCTATAATATAGGCCCCATTAATATTCCTATTTTAGAGATAAGGAAATACAAGTTCAGGGAGGTAAGAAAGACTTGTCCACACTTATTCCTACAGCTATTATAGAGAGTTGTTGTCATCTGAACCACCATTTAACCCATCCTTTTCTCAATCTTATGACCACATACTAAAAGGTTGAATTATACAGGGTAGGTTTACAGTTGTGAGTACGTGAAACAGTTTATTCTTGTATTATTATTATTTACTAATTATTGCATTACTTTCCATACAAACAACTTTAAACCTACTTTTGCCCCTGTATTTACACAAGTATAGAATGAGCATACAAGTACTCATGCCGAGGACTAAAACGTAACCAGATTATCCCCCTCCGCCCTGGGAAACATTGACACGTCTGCCTTCTATTCACCCCCCCCCCCCCCCGCCTTGATCAGATACACACATAAAAATCTATTTACATGTTCTAAAATGAGGTTCCAATTTAAGATTTAAGGGCTTATTAATTTGTTTCTTTAATAATTAATGAAATACCTTAAGTTATGAGATAAAGAAACTTTTATACTAATTTTCAATAACTTGAGTGTTTGTGTAAACAAAAGTCAAAGGAATCACACCACACTATATACAGCAGATCTAAATTATATCTTCAAATACTTCTATATGCCTTGGGAATTCTTTTAAAGACTGACTTTCTTAATTTATAGAAAAAGAAGTTAATTACAGTCAATCCTCAGTATCTGCTAATTTGCCTACTCACTAAAATTTATTTGCAACCCAAAAATCCACGCAGCTGGCACTCTGAAAGCCATTTTTTGACGCGCATAGAACAGCAAAAACTTTGAGTTGCTGGATAGGCACATTCTCTGCTGAAGTTGAGCAGGTGACACTGCCTTCTTGTTTCAGCTCTCATTCTGTAAACAAGTGTCCTATCCCCGGTCTATTTCATGTGGCATTTTTTTCCATTTTTGTCCTTATTGGTAACTTCACTCTTTAAAATGGCCTGCAAGTGTAGTGCTAAAGTGCTCGCTAGTTTTCTTAACAAGAAGGCTGCCATGTGCCTTACAGAAAAAATACATATTAAATAAGCTTCATCCAGGCATGTATTATAGAGCTGTTTGGCCATTGTTCAATATTAATAAATTAACAATATTAAATAAGGTGTCTTAATACAAACACATTAAAAAAAGGGGTAATGCACTGACTGATTGAAAATGTCGTGACCAGAGGTTCAAAGGACCTACCTCTTGTACTTCCTCTAGGAGTAACAGTTCAGGATTCACTCATTTGGTATACAGAGACTTTATAGAATACAACTGCTTCCAGTAACGAGAATCAACTGTACTTGCCTCCTATAATGCACTAATAAGGCTACCAGAGCAGATGCCAGCGCTGCCCGAGCACAGTAAAATATGTCAAACCATCATGTGCAGTTTTCAATTAATTATATTACTTCTGACACATTCTGCTTCACTACTTGGCTTTCTGTTGACATCTCCAACTACCTTTATAGTCACTTAACAAGCTTTATCGGGTGCTTACTATGTTCTAGGTCAGTGATGGCGAACCTTTTGAGCTCGGCGTGTCAGCATTTTGAAGAACCCTAACTTAACTCTGGTGCCGTGTCACATATAGAAATTTTTGATATTTGCAACCATAGTAAAACAAAGATTTATATTTTTGATATTTATTTTATATAGTTAAATGCCATTTAATAAAGAAAAATCAACCAAAAAATGAGTTCACATGTCCCCTCTGACACGCATGTCATAGGTTCGCCATCACTGTTCTAGGCACTGGAACAACACTTTTCTAAAGGAGGACAAAGAAATGGTATATATCAGTCTAAACAAAGCAGGAAGGAAAATTACAGAAGTGACTAATTCTGCCTGGAGAATAAGGAAGGTTTTCAAATATGATATTTAGGTTGATTATTGATAAAAGCAGGGTAAAAACATTTGAGACTAAGGTGACAGCGAACACAGAGAGTGAGGAAGATCATGACCCAGCATGAAGACCATTTATATATATAAAGAGCCAGGGGGCGTCACATCCGAAACAACCAAATGGATGACCAAACAGGCTGAGTGGGGCGACCAGGCCGGCAGGGGGGTTAGTGAGGGATGACCAAACGACTGAATACCAGGCTACTGGGCGACCAGGCCCGCAGGGGGGTTAGTGAGGGACGACCAAACGACTGAGCTACAGGCTGCGTGGAGCAATCAGGACAGCAGAGCGTTAATGAGGGAAGACCAAATGACTGAACAGCAGGCTGTGTGGGCCAACCAGGCCAGCAGGGGGAGGTGCAGTTGGGGGCAACCAGGCTGCCAGGGGAGGCAGTGAGGGGCGACCAGGCTGGCAAAGGGGGGCAGAGAGGGGCAACCAGGCCAGCATGGGGGCAGTTGGGGGCAACCAGGTCAGCACAGGGGGCAGTTAGGGGCAACCAGGCTGGCAGGGGTAAAAAAACCCATATGCACAGCTAAATTTATCCCCCTGACATTTTACACATTCATTTCAGGTTACACCGAGTGATGAGAAAAGTATCACTAGAAACAATCAATTACTTTATCTACACATATATAATACCACATAAACAAAGCTTAAAAAATAAATTTGGTAAAATCTGGAAAACAGAATTGGGATTCTGGGTTTGTTACCTATTATTAACAGGACATTACGTTTTTATTTCAACTTTCCTGGCAGAGTACCGAAACAGAACAAACAAAAATCCAGACACTTCAACAAAGCAATCAAATAAATGGAAAATCTTAGTAGAATGGAGTAGTTACCTTAAGTTTACACAATTACCAAGCTCTGGTGGAATTTGTAGGAGGTCATTATTTTGAAGGTCCAATGTGACCAGATTCTCCATTATCTTCAATTTTTCAGGGTTCACAGATCCAACCTGATTGTTACTAATTAAAATCGTTTCAAGTGTGGAGATGCGATACAGAACTTCAGGTAGTATTTTGAACCTATTTAAAGATGAACAGCACACCTAAATATATTGGTATCCGAGGCAAAATCATTCCTTCTAACAATGATCTTAAGTTTCATATCTTGAGATAAAGTTTTCTTTAGTGTAAATTATTTTATATTTAGTTCAAGTCCTATGTTCAAATTTACAAGAAAATAAAGAAAATGAACTAATTTTGGAAACCTTGAAATGTATGTTAAGTGGAGATTTGGAACAGTTTATTTTATTGTATAAAATCAAATGAAAGTTTATAGTAAATTCTCCAATGTTTTCCTCTTCACATTCAGGAGACAAGGAAATCATCCTGAGATTCTTTATATAAAATGTCTCTGTGTAAGGTATTCTTCCTTAGTTCACTTTGATTATGAAACAGAATCACTGCCAATATTAAGTAAAAATTCAAGGTTCTTATTTTGCTTTGACTGAAGTTTCAAAAATGAGTGCATTTTTGGTTCTTGAAAAGATGACAAACTAGCATAGGCTGTCAGCTTCCTCTTCCAAAGCAAGGCTAAAGATTCCACAAGAGAGATAAGAAAACTAATGGCTCTCAGAACAATTAATACAAAATCCTCGAGTGTCTCTTGGGGGACAGAGGCTAGGATAGTGTGAGGCAAACTGCATCTCATAAAATGGACTAGAAAAGATAAGGATGGGCTGTAGAACTTTACAGCTGTGGCCTTTCACTTCCCTATATTAAAAAAATGCAATAGCAAAGGGTAAACTCAAGGCAGCTCGGTGTTTCCAGAGGGACTGGGAGTCAATACCTAGGAGTACAGACCAACCAAACTGCCTCCAAGTAGTCCCTCCTCTTCTTTCCCACCAACCCAGGAAAAGGCAGGCTCACATACAAAAAGACAAGTTGTACCCTTACCTCTCATCATATACAAAAATTAACTCTAAATGGATTAAAGACCTAAATGTAAGGGCTAAGACTATAAAACTCTGAAGAAAACAGGGATTAAGTCTTCATGACCTTAGATTTGACAGATATAACACCAAAAGCACAAACAACAAAAGGTAAATAAACAACTTCACCAAAATTAAAACCTTTTGTGCTTCAAAGGACACCATCAGGAAAATGAAAAAATAACCCACAAAATGGAAGAAAATAATGTAAGTCATATATCCAATAAGGGATTTGTATCTAAAATATATAAAGAACACTTACAACTCAAAAATAAAAAGACTACACAACTGACAATTGGAGAAAAAATCTGAATAGGCAGGTCTCTAAAGAATATATACAAACTAGAGGCCCGGTGCACGAATCTGTGCACCAGTGGGGTCCCTTGGCCTGGCCTGCGGGATCAGGCTGAAACCGGCTCTCTGACATCCCCTGAGGGGTCCTGAATTGTGAGAGGGCACAGGCCAGGCCGAGGGACCCCACTGGTGCATGATTGGGAGTTTAGCCAGCCAGGTAGGGACAACGGGAGGGCTCTAGGGTGTATCTGGCCTGTCTCGCTCAGTCCCGATCGGCTGGACCCCAGCAGCAAGCTAACCTACCAGTCGGAGCATCTGGTGGTCAGTGCACATCATAACGACTGGTTGACCAGTCGACTATCTGCCCCCTAGTGGTCAGTGTGCAGCATAGCGAGCAGTTGAGTGGCCTTAGCATATCATTAGCATATTACGCTTTGACTTGTTAAACGGATGCCTGGACAAACGGACACTTAGCATATTAGGCTTTTATTATATAGGATGATCAATAAGGACATGAAAAGATGCTTAGCATCATTAGAAATCATAGGAATGCAAATCAAAACTTCAAGATACCACTTTAGCCCAGCCAGTATATCTCAGTGGTTAAGCATTGACCAGAAGATCACGGTCCAATTCTCGGTCTGGGCACATGCCTGGATTTCAGGCTTGATCCCCAGTGGGGGGTGTGTAGGAGGCAGCTGATCAAGATTCTCTCTCATCATTGATGCTTCTATCTCTCTGTCCCTTTCCCTTCCTCTCTGAAATCAATAAAAATATATTTTTTAAAAAGTCAAAAAATATTAGATGGCTAAAATTAAAAAATCAAATAAGATTTGGTAAGGGTGGGGAGAAATCAGAGGATGTGGAGAAATCATACATTGCTGGTGGGACTGTAAAAGGTGCTGCCACCTTGGAAGAGTCTAGCAGTTCCTCCAACAGTTAAACACAGAGTTACCATATAACCCAGCAAATCTACTCCCAGGTATATACCCAAGAGAAGTGAAAAGATATGTCCATTCAAAATCTTGTTCATAAATGTCTATAGCATCATTAACAATAAGAACCAAAAAGTTGAAAACAATGCAAATATCCATCAACTGATGGGTAAATAAAATGTGGTACATCCATATAAAAAATGTTACTCTGCAATAAAAAGAAATGAAATACCAATGCATGCTACAATTTGAATGAATCTTGAAGACATTATGCTATGGAAAAGAAAGCAGTCACAGAAGACCACATATAGTTCTATTTATATAAAATGTCTGGAATAGGCAAATCTAAAGACAAAAAGGAGATTAATTGTTGCTTAGTGCTGAGAAGGGGCAGAAGGTGATATAAGAGGGTGGCAGCTAAAGTGTACAAGAGTTTCTTCTTAAAGCAAAAAAAATATTGACTGTAATGGTGGTGTCCATATCTGTGAATATGGTATATCTGTGAATATACTATAAACCAATAATTACACACTTTAAAGGAAAAAAAAATGACATGGCTCCACTGTTAATATTAACACAGAAGTTAGGCTTAAGTTTTGCCACTTCTCCAAAGATATTACTTGACAATGCAACTGATAACATAATAGCCAATTCAAGAGAGAAATGACAATTCAATTCACAAATAAAAATTAGGAGAGATCTGAGAAGTGCATACATTTTAAAATAAGGACAACAGTAGTATAACTTACCCATGAGAAAGCAAAAATAATGGAGCAGACAGAACAAAAATGTAAATAGGCAGCATTTTAACATCACTATGTCATTGAGGAATAATAATAGTATAAAACTTATATACTTACTAGAGGCCCGGTGCACAAATTCGTGCATGAGTGGGGTCTGGCCGGCCCACCCCAACAGGGGCAATCAGGCCGGGCGAGCTGGGGGAAAGGGAGAGAATGCAGGAGGTTGGCCGGCTGGACCTGCCCCTGACAGAGATAGGGGGGGCTGATTAGGGGCGGGGCCAGCCAGGGGGAGGTGCAGAGGTGGCTGGCCAGCCGGTCCCGCCCCCTGGTTGAACTCCTAGTGGAAGGGACAATTTGCATATTAGCCTTTTATTATATAGGATTATCAGGATTGAATGAATATATTTGAAGACCTTCAGATAGTAGCTGAAATATAGTAAACTAGTAACCCTCTCCCTTCCTTAACAGTAACAAAAGGCTATAACAACAGAGGCATGATATAAAAACAACAGTGAAGCAAACAATGACTGATAAAGTCATTAAACTTATTCTAATATTTCCCTGTACACCACATTAAAAGTGAAAACACTTTCAGAGTGCTTGACTAATCTCCCTTGCTGCTGGGGTCCGGCTGATCGGGAATGAGCAAGTCGAGACGGACATGGCCTGGAGCCTTCCCGCGGCCCCTCCCCAGGTGGCCAACCTTCCGTACCCCTCACCGGCCCCGATCTTGTACCAGTGGGGTCCCTCAGCCTGGCCTGAGCCCTCTCGCAATCCAGAACCCCTCAGGGAATGTCAGAGAGCCGGTGTCGGCCCGATCCCGTAGGCCAGGCCGAGGTACCCCACTGGTGCATGAATTCATGCACCAGGCCTCTAGTTCTTAATAATTAGTGGTAGTTTTATAGTTTTTAAAGAATAAAATCTAAGTTTCGTTTTGGATAAAAAGCTCTCTTGAGGGGTTTTTATGCTGCTTACATAACCAGCGTCAGTTGTTACCTCCACTCCTCTAGCCCAGTGGTCGGCAAACTGCAGCTGGTGAGCCACATGTGGCTATGTGGCCCCTTGAGTGTGGCTCTTACACAAAATACCACGTGCGGGCGCACATGTACAGTGCAATTGAAACTTCGTGGCCCATGCGCAGAAGTCGATATTTTGTGGAAGAGCCACACTCAAGGGTCCAAAGAGGCACATGTGGCTGGCTCGCTAGCCGCAGTTTGCCGACCACTGCTCTAGCCCCATACTTTATGGTCAGAGCCATATTAAACTTCTTGAAGTGCCCCAAACACAGCATGTTCTCATATCTGTGTACATGCTACTTGCTCTACCTGGGGTGCCTTACCCCTGTGTATCTGGCAAATGTCTACCAGTTTTTCCTAAGTCTCAGTTTCAATGCTACCTCCTTTATCTTCAGGTAATTTCAGGAAACACCTTTGTGCACAATGCTTCCATTATAGCAATTATAATTATTAAAATGATTAAAAGGAACAAGAAATCTACTACATATAAGTGGTGAAAGCACTAAGAAAGCAACACTTTAAATTCTAAGTAGAACTAAGTGAAAATAGACCTGGACATTTAAATTAAGTAAAAATATAGGGCCTTTTTTGTTTGCTCTTTTAGTTGTCGTCTCTGATTAAACCTACAAATTTTCCATAGAATAAATAGTTAATCACAGATTTGTCTGCTCTGTCTCTTACCTATTAAAGGAAAGATTGATTGTCTGTAGTCGTATCAACGATTCCATTTCTTCAGGCAAGGAATTTAAAAAATTGTTTCTAAGTTAGAAAGAAAAAGATGATTTACAAAAAACTTTTGTTCAGCTTCAATTTATAATTAATGTTCATCACACACAAAAAATACACAGCTCTGCTTATAAATGTTCGATCTGATCTGCTTAAGGCTGAGTCCTCAAAATGCTAAATCAGTCCGCTACCTCAAGTATTTGATTACTTTACCAAATTCTAATACCAATATGCATCCCATTGATAATAAAATCAACTCATTAACACTTGATTTAATAGGACTAACACTGTTAACTGCTTATCTCCTTCAAACTGAGCTCAGCAATACTTCTCCAGATCAGGGCCCTTCACATCATGCTTTGAAATACCACATTCTTTGATACTACAGATATTTGATTGGTGTAAATACACAGATATCTTGCATACAGACATGAAATTCTACTCAAAAAATTTTAAAATATTATATTAAAAACTTTCCCTGACCGGTTTGGCTCAGTGGATAGAGCGTCAGCCTGCAGACTCAAGGGTCCCAGGTGCGATGCCTGTCAAGGGCATGTACCTTGGTTGCGGGCACATACCCAGTAGGGAGTGTGCAGGAGGCAGCTGATCGATGTTTCTCTCTCATCGATGTTTCTGGCTCTCTATCCCTCTCCCTTCCTCACTGTAAAAAATCAATAAAATATATTTTTAAAAATATAAAAAATAAATAAAAATAAAATATTATATTAAAAACTTGACAGGAAAGTAGAGAGATGTTACATATTTAGAAATGTGGAACTTTCTACCACATAGGTATTATGCAAGTCCATTTCTACTCTAAGTTTGGAATTTAAATTTGCACAGTGCATTTTCTTTTTTTAGATCTTATAATGAACCATGGCAGAAAACAGAATCTCATTTACTGTTGGAAGGACCTGGGAACAATTTTAGAAGGAAGGTCAACAAAAAAGTAGGATTATAGAGGCTATATATACCTAACAATAGAAAATATCTGTGAAAAAATTATATCCAACCTGATGGCTACATATTACAATTGAATAATTTCCTCTAACTTATTTCTTTACATTCGGAAGTCAAGTGTAATAGTTACAGTTCAACCTATGTTTTTTTTTTCTTTTCTCCAGTTATTGTCTTTATTAAGGTGTACTGAATAACCTACTGCTCATTTCTATCCTTTTCCTAGAAAGTCTTATACCTACTTATCTTAGACACAAAAGCATATTTTAGTCACTTAATTAGAAACCTCCAGATATGGTTACAGAAAAAGGCCCCACATACAAACACCATTGAAGAATGGGACAAAAAGAAATAAATACAACAGCAACGTGGACATAAATTCACTCTCTTTACTCTGATAATACTACACTAAAATATGGTTTACATTGTTTTGCTAATGCTGCCACCCAAAAATAGACACTAGTCTACATTTAGTAGGAGCAAAGTAGATTTGCTTTCATCCCATAAATAAAAAAAAGATATAACTTAACTTATTGTTATTTAACTACTGTTTCAGCAGAACAAGAGGAGCTAGCTAGACTTAAACTAAAAATCACTCCTAGTAACAATATATGAGAAGTAAGAAACCTAGGTAGTAGACATATAGTATTAAAGCCCCTGCAAATAAATGATTATCTAACACAGAGACATGTATTATTACCTTCAGAGAACTGTGATACTTTTGATCCTGTCACGTCAACTTTGAACATATTAAACTTCCTACTACATCTGTAGAACCTTAAGTAGTTTCTTTTCTTGTTGTTGCCACTCATAGTGTTCCTTTTCATTATTTCTGGCATGTCTATGTAATATAATATTTTGGAACCAAATAGTTTCTTTTTAAGAGAAGCCATGCTAGCCCCAGCTGGTTTGGTTCAGTGGATACAGTGTCAGCCTGTGTACTAAATGGTCCCCAGTTCGATTCTAGTCAAGGGCACATGCCCAGGTTGTGGGCTTGATCCAGAGTAGGGGGCATGCAGGAAGCAGTTGATCAATGATTCTCTCTCATCACTGATGTTTCTCTCTCTCCCTTTCCCTTCCTCTATAAAATCAATAAAAATATATTTAAAAAGAGAGAGAAAGGGAGAGAGAGAGAAAGCCATGCCGGCTAGCTGGTATGCCAGTACAGGATTGACAGTTTTATGTTATTTACTTTCAGAAAAGGAACCATGTGAAGCAAATACTTTCCACATGTTATTTGTAATTTTGCATAAGCAAGAATCTAAAAATGTGTTAATATTTTCCAATATCTAAAATAATTTTGTCATGTAACCTAACTTGTAAATTGCCTATAATGATAGATATCTGATTAAAATATTTCCTAAATGCTATATTTTAGAGTTATCCTAAAATATTATTAATAAACTAAAGACCAATTTCCAGACTTACTTAGGAAAATATGAGGGACAGGGCAAAAGTTAGGCAAAACTCAAAGACAAGTTATAATGGAAAAAGTGAAGAACAGTATCAATACATACCTGAGATCTAAAAAACTCAATTTCTGAAGCATACATAATTCCAAAGATATAAGGGAAAGCTTATTAAAACCGAGATTGACATCAGAAACCATTTCCTTCAGTTCTATAATCCTGAAACAAAAATAATTTTTAAATGTTAGCACTCAAACTATAAGAAGACCATAGAGGATAAAAATCCTGTATTATTTCTGCTAATTAAGATCTTCTGTAAATTTTACTTTCCTCATAAAAATTTTAATCAGTTTGGATGTGTAACTGATAAAAGTAGTTTTTAAAAACTGCCTTAATATTATCTATCCCAGAATTTCTACTTAGTCTTAAATGTATGATGAAGTTTAACAGCCCCTTTATTTTATATTTAAACCAATTATGGACAAAGAAATGAACCAATTAAAGAAAAGTCAAATCTAGGCAAATTTTTTTAATGAGTTGAATCCATGAAATAAATGGTTTAGGCATATACTCTATAACATAGTAGTTTTCTTTTTAGAGTGCATTATATAACACCATCTGGGTACTTCAAAATGTTTTTTAAATACTGTATGCCCACATTTTTTTTATTTTTTATTTTTTATTATTAGTTAAGGTATTACAAATGTGTCCTTATCCCCCCCCCCATTAACCCTCAACCTCCCCCCGCACACACACTCATGCTCCCATCCCCCTGTTGTCCATGTCCATTGGTTTGGCTTATATACATGTATACAAGTCCTTCGGTTGATCTCTTCCCCTTACCCCCGCCCTCCCCTACTTCCCTTCTGGGGTATATGTCCACATTTTAAAAGTATAGTATAGTATTTATTATCCTATCATTACATTTAATCATGACTGTAAGAAAAATTAAGTTAATTTCTAGGTTTGATAAGTGTCACTACTAAGCAACTTAACTCAAAAACTTAAAAAGGAAGAACTGAACATTTCTAAGTAAGCCTAATCAAGCGTAGTAGTTTAACACTTAGTTAAGCACCATGTCAGTCTCCGGTGACTGACAGTATATTTTCCGTCTGGACCGGTCAGTCACTGGTGCCGCCAGCCTATCGGTAAAATCAGATATTGCAGGCTAAAAGGAAAAGAAGACAAAACAGGCTTGGCACTTGATGTGTTAAAAGAATGCTATTAATCTATATATATAAAAGTCTAAGCGACTGTCCACCTAGCTGATAGCTATGACACGCATTGACCACCAGGGGGCAGACACTCAATGCAGGAGCTGAAACCACAGGCATGGAAACATGGAACTGATAAATCTCAGAGGGAAGGGAAGGGGGGAAGAGATTAACCAAAGATCTTATATGCATACTAGAGGCCCTATGCACGAATTGGTGCACCAGTGGGGTCCCTCAACCTGGCCAGTGGGGATTGGGCTGAACCGGCTCTCCGACATCCCCCGAGGGGTCCCGGATTGCAAGAGGGTGCAGGCCATCCCGAGGGACCCCCCTTGTGCATGAATCTGTGCACAAGGCCTCTCATTGAACTATAAAAACATGAAATGCTATATATGGTTAGCCAAGAAATGAATTAAACTATTAACTATAAATCATTTTTGTCTATATTAGGAAGAAAAAAAGAATATCAAATACTGTGCTAAAGAAGATACAATGAAAGATACAATGAGTTTGGATATGTATAGATAGCCATACTCTTTGATTTAGTAAGTCATCTAGAAATCTGGCCTAAAGAAATGTTTTCTTTTATTTATTGCCATAATCAACTTTATCGTATATAAATTTTTCTATATTTTAATCTTTATTATTGAAAGTATAACATATGTCCCCTTTTCTCTCCCAATGACCCCCTCAACCCCACACCTACTCCCCCCCACCACGAAGTCTAGCGCACTATATTCTGTCCATGGGTTATGCATATATGCATATAAATTCTTTGGTTAATCTCCTCATGCCGCCCCCTTCCACTCCCTACTTTCCCTCTGATATTTGTCAGTTCATTCCATATTTCCATGTCTATGGATCTACGTTGTTGTTAATCCTCACCCAAGGATATTTTTTCCATTGACTTTTAACACGTTAAGCACCAGTAACTGACACTATACTTTCTGTCCGGACCGGTCAGTAACTGGTGCCACCAGCATATAGGTGAAATCGGATATCGTGGGCTAAATGGAAAGGAAGACAAAACCAGATTGGCGCTTAATGTGTTAAAGAAAGTGGAAGGGAGGGGGAAAGACAGAGAGAAACACTGATAGATTGGCTGCCTCCTGCATGTGCCCCAACTCAAGCTGGGATCAAGACTGAAACCCAGGTACATGCCCTTGACTGGAATTGAACCCACACCTTCAGTCCTCGGGCTGAGCAAGGTTCTATCCACTGAGGCAAAACAGCTAGGACTCTGCATCTATTTTTATTTTATTTTATTTTATTTTTTAATGTATTTTTATTGCAGCCTAGGAAAAACCCAGCCAGCTGGCCATGGGTTTTGATAAGATCTGACTATGCTCCCTTTGTCTGTCCTGAACATGCACTTCAGAACT